CTGTGCCTGCCTCCCCTCTTCCCCTCACAAGGCAGTTGTCACTGCCATGAGGTCTCCCCTCAGTCTCTCCTCCAGCTGAACAGAGGAGTGACCTCAGCTTCTCATAAGGCTTCCCCTCAAGGCCCTTTACAAACCTCCTGGAATTCTTTAATGGCTTAATATCTCTCTTATATTGTGGTGCCCAAAACTGTTCCAATATTGCATGTGAGGCATTTCTCCCCCACTCTGAGTGAGCCCTATTGGTGACCAAGGGACAGAAGAACCCAAACCTTGAAGCCTGACAGGGATCAAACAATGGTCACTCACAGAATCACAACACTGACCTCTGCACAAAAACATCTCCGCTTTTTGTGTCACTCAACACAGCCCTCCTGAACCAACATTCAAATACTGCAGAGTGACACTGACACCAGGTAAGGGGACACCGAGCACATTTACATCCCTGCACCTGCCCTGCTCTCAAGGGGAGCGGCACCACAATCCCCCCCACCAGCAGCTCTATAAAGCTCCTCTTTCCAGACGGGACACTCAGGGATCAGCAGCCGCTGACCTGCGCTTGGCATTGGTGCAACAGCCCCCTTGTCCAGCACAGCACTGCTCCCAGCTCCCACGATGGAAGCTTGTCACTCTCCAGAGCAATTCAATGTCACCTCATATGCTGCCACAGCTGTGGCTGTCGTCACCTTTGAGGCATTTGCTGGCATGTGGATAAATGCTTTCATTGTTTCTGTGATTTGCATGACCTGGGTGAGAAAGAAAACCTTGAACTCTTGTGAGAAGATCTTGCTGTTACTGGGATGCTCCAGGTTTTGTTTTTTGTGCATTACCTGGGCATATTCCTTTCTTTCAGTCATTTATCCCAACCACCTTCATGTTCACCCAACTCTTCAACTCCTTAGTAGTGCTCAGAGCTTTTTCACTTGTTCCAACTTTTGGGTTTCAGCCTGTCTTTGTGTCTTTTATTGTATAAAAATTGCCACTTTCAGGAACAGCTTCTTCATCTACCTGAAACTAAAAATTGACAGGATTGTGCCCTGGCTCCTGTTGGGGTCTGCGCTTTTCTCCCTGGTAAATGGAATCCTTGTCTATGATTTCACTAATAAACTGCACTGTAACAATTCCACCAGGCAAGGACATTTTTGGAAAGTGAAAATCAAGACAGATGAACATTTTTTCACTTTTTATTTTATCACTGGCTTTGGATATGCCACTTCATTGACCGCAGTCACCTCTTCTGCCCTTCTCCTTCTCTTTTCTCTCTGGAGACACAGATGCAACATGCAGACCACCTCCATGAAGGACCTCAGCATGGATGCCCACATCAAAGCCATGAAATCAATTATCTCCTTCTTCGTAATGCACAGCATCAACTTTATATGTTTGGTTGCAGGAATGATTTATTCTACAAAGGAGGAAAATCCCATTATGTTGATGATTTATGTATTTATGTATGCTTATCCGGGTGTTCATTCCCTCATTCTGATTTTCAGCAACCCCAGTCTAGAAATGACACTGTTAAGGATTCTGCCCTGTCTGAAGTGCAAGTTTTGCATGACACAGGAACTGTAACTAAAGCTGGAGCCCATGCAAAAGGTTGACCCTTCACTGTAGTAAACAAGTCCCTTCATCTGTAAGGCAAAGCTCCAGGCAGTGTAGATGATGCTTCCCTCTTCCCCATCTCAGTTAAGGACACTGCATTCAAATTCTTTGAACTAAATTACTTTGAGTTAAATGATTCGTTATTCATGTAGTTTAGTTTAGATAATTTTTGAGCTGAATTATTGTCAATAACAACTTCATTTTGACCTGGGGCATGGGCTGGATGCAAAAGGGCAATAATGACACTGCAAACCTGCCACTAATGCTTTGGCACTTGCTGATTGAAATGACTGAACTAAACAATAGGTTTCTCTGTTTTAGTTTACATTTCTTGCTGCTGTGGCCCTGTTCTACTATAATATGATGAGCTGTATCACTGTCTGGCAGTGGGTGATAAGCAGTTGATGTGTGAACATGCTGATCCCTGTCACTCTCCAGGGGTGGTCACTGATGGACAAACAGCGATGCAGGAATGGCCGTGGGGTGTAGGTGGGTGCAGAGCCCACTTCCCACACCAGCCCTGAGTGTCCTCTCTGCCCCACTTCCTGCAAGAACAGGATTGCCCCACTCTGTGTGATTGCTCTGCTTTCAAATTGCAGGTGAGATCGGCTCTTCCCAGTGGGAAAGTGGGATCTCTCCAAAGTGCAGCATGGAATAAAGTCCTGTTGCCATCTCACAGTGACCCACAGGCACATGTACAGGGTGCTTGGGCCATGTGCTGGCAGCTGGGGCCTGGTGGGGGTCTCAGTGAGGGAAGGTCAAGGCTGCCCTGTGCAAGGGAAAGCCACTTCAAGGCAAACCAAAGGACCTGCTGCAGGACACAGCTCAGCCTATCAGCGCTGGTTGTGGCTCCTCTGTGAAAGGATCGATTAAAAAGTGCAAAAACCTGGCCTGGCAATTGTGAGAAACAGTCCTGCAGCAACAGGGACAGCAAAGGAAGGGGAGGGGTTGCTCCAGGTGCCAGAGCAGACATTCCCCTGCAGCCCCTGGAGGGGATCACAGTGAGGAAGCTGTGCCTCTGCAATGCATGGAAGTCCATGGGGGAGCTGAGATCCACCTCAGCCCACAGGATGACCCCATGGAATAGTCAGGTGCAGGCAGAAGGACTGCAGCCCATGGGACAGACCCACGCTGGAACAGAAGAATGTGAGGAAGAAGGAGGAGAGACAGCACATTATGATGTGACTGCAAACCCCATTTTCTGTTCCCCTGCGTTGCTGTAGGGGAGGAGGTAGAGACTCTGGGAATAAAGGAGCAAAGTTGAGCCTGGGATGAATGGGGGTGGAGCAAGGGGTTCTAGTTTAGTTTTTGTTCCTCATCACCCTACTCAATTTTGAAACAGCAATAAATTCAATTCATTTTTCCCTCCTTGAGTCTGTTGTGTCTGTGACAGTAACTGGTGAGTGATGTCTCTGTGTTTATCTCAACTCATGAGGTTTTCTATCTTATTTGCCACTGCATCTTTGTGCAAATTGGGAGCAACTGAGTGTGTGCCCAAGGTCACCCCACTGTAGCAGGTCAGCTAAACATGAAATAGTTAAGGAATACATTCAGTGCAGACAGCTCAGTGTGCAGCTACAGTGAGAGCTGCAGGTTGTGCTCTGGGTGGCAGGAAATGGCAGGAGCCCCAGGCATGGAGCCAAGACCCCAGGCTATCATGTGCATACCATGGAAGGGTGCAAAATCCAGGGATCTGGTTGTTGGGGGTCCCTTCTCAGTGGCCTTCAGCTCGTGCTGCTTCTGTGCCACGATTAAATTGTTGTAAAGATCCAGATGTCTGAGACTCTGCGGTGGAAAACCCAGTGTGGAGCTGGTGAGGACTCTGGGGGTGTGTCTCTGTGGGTGTGGTCTGTGTAGGGGCTCAAGTGGGGCAGCCATGGGTTCACAGGAGCTGCCCCCTGCAAAGGGGCTTCAGTCCCAGCAGTGAAAGGCTCTGGTGGGAGGTGGGCAAATACTACTGTCCAAAACCTTCCTCTCTCTTCATGAAATGAGAGAAAGAACCATTTAGTCCAGAGCAACCTCTCAACCACTGTAATATTGCCTTTTCCAAACACAATCTCTCTCTTTCCATAAAAAGTTCAAAATACCTGCCTAGAGGACATTTTTATTCTCTTTCCCAGGATTGTATCCTGAAACAATTGTGACCTTCTGAACTTTGAGGTTCAGTTATAAATGGAATGGGTTTTCCCAGAAGAAATTGGGCAACCAAGAGCCTACGTAGTTACCAAGTCTGCTCATCTGGGATTTCCCATCATGAAGGAGAAAGACAAGGATTGTGCATTGGGAAGATGTTCAGCCTGAGCCAAACTCAGATGGAAGCAATTCAATTGGTGTGCAATGTCTCTCAGATCCCAGGACATCTGTGTGTCCATCCAGTACAGAAACACAGCAGTCTGGTGCTCTTTGAGATGCACGAGGGCATCCAAAATATGCGCATGGGCTGGTAGATACAAAGCCTGGGATACTCCTTCCCCTTCATGAGTGGTGCTGGAGGGGATGGATTTGAATTAAAAGCAGACACCTCTATTCCAAGCACCTGTTTCTGTCTATCCATGCTTTGGAAACCCAGTATTTGAGAGTCTGTTTTTTTCCCAGTAGGTTTTTTATAAGGTACCACATTCCCCACACAGAGCTGAGCCCAAACCCTGGCCACAGTACTGTCCTGCTGGTGTCACATTTTCATTTCACGTCCCTGTACAAGCACAGTCCCAGCAGAACAGTTCATTTTCAGAACTGTTGTAGTAGAATTAGCTTCTCTTGTCCTCACATACATATTCAGAGATGAAAAAAAAATTTAAAACCCCCAAACAAACAAACAAAAAAACCCCACTAAACAAACAATGCAAACCCCAAAAAACTCAACTCCCACCTTACACCATATTTTCTTTTCTTTTCTGTCAGTAAAAGCAAAGCAAACTTAGAATCACAGACTGGAACCATAGAATCAGTGAGATTGGAAAAGACCTCTAATATTGTCAATACCAACCATTAACCCAGCACTGCCAGGTACTTATGATTCCCTATCTGGCTCTTCTCTAGATGGCTGTCACCTTTGCCAAGCTCTGGGCTTTTGAAACCTCCCTGGTTAGTCAGGACCTGCTATAAATGATGGGGAATGTCTTGGTGACCTCTTCCACCAGTTTCCTCAGTACCCTTGGGTGGATCCTATCTGGCACCATAGACTTGAGAGTGTTTAGGTGGCACATCAGGTCACTAGATACTTCCTGGTTAACGGGGGGGGGCTTCATTCCATTCCTTGTCTCTGATTTCCAGCTTAGATGATTCAGTACCCTGAGGACAACTGCTCTGACTTTTACAGATTGAGGCAAAGAAGGCATTAAGTACCTCAGCCTTCTCCTCATCCTTTGTGGCAATATTTCACCTCAAATCCAAAACAAAGGATGAATATTCTGCTGATTTGGTTTTTGTGCATTTCATGGGTATATTTTTTTCTTTCAATCATTTATCCCCACTACCATCCTGTTCACCCCATATTTCAACTACTTAAGCATGCTCAGAGCTTTCTTAATTGTTCCAACCTGTCTTTGTGTCTTTTATTGTATAAAAATTTCCAATTTCAGGAACAGCTTCTTCATCTACCTGAAAATAAAAATTGACAGGATGGTGCCCTGGCTCTTGTTGGGGTCAGTGTTTTTCTCCCTGGTTTTCGGAACCGTTGTCTACGACGTCACTGATAAAGCTTTCTGTAAAAACCTCAATTTCACCTGCCGAGGATGTATTTGGAAAGCAAGGATCAGAATAGAAGAACTTCTTTTTCCTAATTATTTCATCATTAGCTTAGGATTTGCCACTCCACTCACAGCAGTCATCTTTTCTGCCCTTCTGCTTCTCTTTTCCCTCTGGAGACAAAAATAAATAATAAACTTTCAAAAACCATCAAACCTTACAACACATTTTCTATCCTGACAGTAAAAGCATAGGAAACTCAAAGCAAAGCATAAAGAAGAGAACAGGCAGTATCAGGAAATGAAAATTCTCTCAAGGCAATGCTGTGCCTTCCAACAACATCAACAATTATCAAAAGAAATAATATTTTTTAATGACTGCAGACAAAACTGATTTGCTCAGGGTAGGCGACCAAGAGACAGAAGAACACAGATTCTAAATCCTCACAGAGATCAAAATACATCCCCCACAAAATCACAACACTGCCCACTGCAAAAAAACCTCTCCACTCTTTGTGTCACTCAACACAGCCCTCCTGAACCAACATTCAAATACTGCAGAGTGACACTGACACCAGGTAAGGGGACACCCAGCACATTTACATCCCTGCACCTGCCCTGCTCTCAAGGGGAGCAGCACCACAATCCCCCCCACCAGCAGCTCTATAAAGCTCCTCTTTCCAGACGGGACACTCAGGGATCAGCAGCCGCTGACCTGCGCTTGGCATTGGTGCAACAGCCCCCTTGTCCAGCACAGCACTGCTCCCAGCTCCCACGATGGAAGCTTGTTACTCTCAACAGCAATTCAATGTCACTTCATATGATGCCACAGCTCTGGCCATCATCACCTTTGAGGCATTTGCTGGCATGTGGATAAATGCTTTCATTGTTTCTGTGATTTGCATGACCTGGGTGAGAAAGAAAACCTTGAACTCTAATGAGAAGATCTTGCTGTTACTGGGATCCTCCAGGTTTTGGTGTTTGTGCATCTCATGGATACATTTCTTTCTGTCACTAATTTACCCCAATTACCTTCGTGTTCACCCCATTATTGTGCTAAGTAATAGTGCTCAGAGCATTCTCAATTGTTCCAACTTTTGGATTTCAGCCTGTCTTTGTGTCTTTTATTGTATAAAAATTGCCAATTTCAGGAGCAGCTTCTTCATCTACCTGAAAGTAAAAGTTGACAGGATGGTACCCTGGCTCTTGTTGGGGTCAGTGTTTTTCTCCCTGGTTATCGGAACCGTTATCAACAACATGACTGATAAAGCTTTCTGTAAGAACCTCAATTTGACCTGCCAAGAGTGTATTGGGAAAGCAAGGATCAGAAGAGAGGAACATTTTCTCCCCGTTCATTTTTTCATTGGTTTTGGATATGCCACTCCATTCACAGTTGTCATCTTTTCTGCCCTTCTGCTTCTCTTTTCCCTCTGGAGACACAAACGCAACATGCAGACAAACTCCATGAAGGACCTCAGCATGGATGCCCACATCAAAGCCACGAAATGCATTCTCTCCTTTTTCATAATCTACAGCATCAACTTTGTTTTTTTTATCTTGTCACTGACTTCTGCAATTAAGAGGCAAAATCACGTGGAGTTGCTTTTTAATGTATTTCAGTATGCTTTCCCAAGTTTTCATTCGCTTATTGTACTTTTCAGCAATCCCAATCTGGAAAAGACACTGCTAAAGATTCTATCCTATATGAAATGCAAGGTTTGTGTGAAGTAGGCACTGGAACAACAGCTGGACCCTTTGCAAAATGTGACTATTTCTTTGGAGCAAACAAATCAATTAATTTCCAGGGCAACTCTCCAGCCAGCGTAGATGATCCAGATGTTCAGAATACATCCTTCAAAGTCTTTGAACTAATATTGTTTGATTTAAATCTATTATAATCTCATTTCATTTAGATAGTTTCCAGAGCTAAGTTACTGTCGATAGCAAAATCATTTTGACCTTGTATACATTGACTGGCTGCAAAAGGGCAGTAACAATAGTGCAAATCTGCCACAAATGCTTCTTGATCTGCTGATTGAAATGACTGAACTAAAGAACAGGTTTCTGTCTGTTTTAGTTGACATTTCTTGCTGCTGTGGCCCTGTTCTCGTGGAAGATGAGGAGCTGTATCACTGTCTGGCAGGGGTTGATAACTGATGTGTGAACGTGTTGATCCCTGTCAGTCTCCAGAGCTGTCACTGACACACAAGCAGCGATGCAGGAATGGCCGTGGGGTGCACAGGTGGGTGCAGAGCCCACTTCCCACACCAGCCCTGAGTGTCCTCTCTGCCCCACTTCCTGCAAGAACAGGATTGCCCCACTCTGTGGGACTGCTCTCCTGCTCTGCTTTTACTTGTTTGTGTGCATCGTGCAGCGTGGAATAAATTCCTACTGTCAACTGGCAGTGACCCACGGGCAGATGTACGGGGTGCTTGGGCCAGGTGCTGGCTGCTGGGGATCTGTGGGGGTCTCAGTGAGGCAAGGGCAGGGCTGCCCTGTGCCAGGGAAAGCCACTTCAAGGCGTTTTTCCAAAGGGCCCCCCGCAGGACACAGCTGAGCCCATCAGCAAACGCTCCTGGCTCTTCTGGATGGATAGACTGAAGAACAGGCAAAAGCAGGCCTGGCAGTGTGGAGGGAGGAAAATTGTGAGAACCAGCCCTGCAGCAAACAGGGACAGGGAAGGACAGAGAGGGGTTGCTTCATGTGCTCTAGAAGGGATTCCCCTACAGCCCATGGAGAGGACTATGGTGAGCCAGCTCTGCTCCTTGCACCCCGTGGAAGTCCACGGTGGAACAGGGATCCACCTTCAGCCCTTGGATGACCCCACACAGAGCAGGTGGGGTGGGTGAATGATTGCAGCTCATGGAGATCTAGTAGATAATGGAGAGCTCACACTGGAGCCAGTTTATCCTGATGGACTGCAGCCTGTGGAAGAGACCTACACATGAGCTGGGGAAGAGCGCGAGGAAGGAGTGAAGCAAACTACTTGTTATGTTCTCACTGTCACCCCCATTGCCCATCCCATTGTGCTGCTGGGAGGGATGAGGAGGTAGAGAATCTGAGAATGAGTTGAGGCTCAGATGATTGGAGGCTGGAGACCAGGTGTTCTAGTTTTGTGTTTATTCCTCTTCCTCCTACTGTTTTTTCAATAGGCAATAAATTCTACTGATTTTCCCCAAGTCGAGTCTTTTTTGTCTGTGACAGTAATTGGTGTGTGATCTCCCTGTCTTTATTTTGACACATGAGCTTTTTCATCTCATTTTCCACCCCTGCCCTGTGGTGGAGTGAGAGTGAAGGAGCAGCTGGGTGGAGAGTCTGACAGCTGCCCACGGTCAATCCACCATGACAGGACCTGTAAACATGAAGCAGACCAGTGTTGAGGAACACATTCAGGGTAGACAGCTCGGTGTGCAACCACAGTGAGAGCTGCAGGTTGTGTGGAAATGGAGGGAGCCCCAGGCATGGTGCCAATGCCTTGCACAACAAAGGGCCCAGGGACCTGTGGCACCACCCAGGTGACTGGACACTCAGAGACACAGCAGGAGCAAATGATTCAGAAGGAAGACCCCAAAATATCAGCTGCATACATTGGAAGGGTACAAAACCCAAAGCTGAGAATCCCTTCTCACAGGCACCCAGATCAGACTGCTTCTGTGTTACTGTGCCATGATTGAATTGCTTTAAAGATTCAGACATCTGAGACTCTGCTGTGGGAAACCCAGTGTGCAGCTGGGAAGGAAACCTGATCTGACTCTGGGGCTGAGGTCTGTGAAGGGGCTCAAGTGGGGCACCCATGAGCTCACAGGAGCTGCCCCCTGCAAAGGGGCTTTGGTCCCAGCAGTGAAAGGCTCTGGTAGGGGAGTGGAAGTGCCAGAGAACCTCCTGGATGGGGAGACAGGAAAGTTTCCTTAATACCAGCACAAACAGAGCAGAACCTCAAATATTTCTTTATTTCACCAGCTCAGGCGGCTCAGGGGGATCTTTTACCTCATGCTCAGACCCACGAGTGCATTTCTCATAATATTAAAAGCTTCAAAAAGCTTTTTGAGAGCACACCCTGCACAACAAAAGCATCACAGGGGGCCAAGAGACAGAAGAACACAGATCCTGAATCCTCACAGGAATCAAACAAGGGTCAGTCACAAAATCACAACACTGACCTCTGCACAAAAACATCTCCGCTTTTTGTGTCACTCAACACAGCCACCCTGAACCAACATTCAAATACTGCAGAGTGACACTGACACCAGATAAGGGGACACCCAGCACATTTACATCCCTGCACCTGCCCTGCTCTCAAGGGGAGCGGCACCACAATCCCCCCCACCAGCAGCTCTATAAAGCTCCTCTTTCCAGACGGGACACTCAGGGATCAGCAGCCGCTGACCTGAGCTTGGCATTGGTGCAACAGCCCCCTTGTCCAGCACAGCACTGCTCCCAGCTCCCAGGATGGAAGCTTGTCACTCTCAAGAACAATTCAATGTCACTTCATACGGTGCCACATCTGTGACCATCATCACCTTTGAGGCGTTTGCTGGCATGTGGATAAATGCTTTCATTGTTTCTGTGATTTGCATTGCTTGGGTCAAAAGGAAAACCATGAACTCTAATGAGAAGATCTTGCTGTTACTTGGATCCTCTAGGTTTTGGTATTTGTTCATCTTATGGCTATATTATTTTCTTTTAATAATGTATCCCAAATACCTTTATGTTCACCCCACATTTCAACTACTTGCAGGTGCTCAAAGATTGTTTAATTGTTTTGAACTTTCTGTTTCAGCCTGTCTTTCTGTCTTTTATTGTGCAAAAATTGCCAATTTTAGGAACAGCTGCTTTTTCTACCTGAAAGTCAAAATTGACAGGATGGTGCCCTGGCTCCTGTTGGGGTCAGTGTTTTTCTCCCTGGTTATTGGAATCCTTGCCTATGAAATCATTGAAAAACCTCAATGTAACAATTCCACTGGTCGAGAGAATTTGTGGAAAGTGAAAATTAAGACAGATGAACAGTTTTTTCCTATTTATTTTATCACTGGGTTTGGATATGCCACTTCATTCATGGCAGTCATCCTTTCTGTCCTTCTCCTTCTCTTTTCTCTCTGGAGACACAAACGCAACATGCAGACAAGCTCCATGAAGGACCTCAGCATGGATGCCCACATCAAAGCCATGAAATCCATTCTCTCCTTCTTCGTAATGTACAGCATCAACATTATATCCTTGATTGTGACAATGATTTATTCAGGGGAGGGCAAAAGTGCTATGATGTTTCTGATTTATGTATTTCATTATGCTTTTCCAGGTGTTCATTCCCTTATTCTGATTTTCAGCAACCCCAAGCTGAAAAACACACTGCTAAGGATTCTGCCCTGTGTGAAGTGCAAGGTTTGCATGAGGTAGGAACTGTAGCAAAAGCTGGACCCTTTGCAAAATGCTGACCTTTCACTGTAGGCAACAAGTCAATTAATATCTAATACAACTCTACTGGCAGTGTAGATAATAGAGATGTTCACTCTTCCCCATCTAAGTTAAGAAAACTGGATTCAAATTCTTTGACCCAGATTATTGTGACTTTATTATAATTATTATCACTGAGTTTGGATAATTCTTTAGCTGAATTAGTGTCAATAACAACTTCATTTAGACCTGGTACATGGGCTGGATGCAAAAGTGCTGTAAGAACACTGCAAACCTGCCACAAATGATTCGTCATCTGCTGATGAAATTATAATTATTAGTATTTTTAAGTTTAGATAGTTTTTTGAGCTCCATTATTGTCAGTGACAACTTCATTTAGTCTTTATATATGGGCTGGATGCAAAAGGACAATAACAATCATGTAAACCTGCTGCAAATACTTTGGTATTCCCTGATTGAAAAGACTGAAGTAAACAACAGCTTTAATTCAATTTTAGTTTCCAGCTCTTTCTGCTGTAGCCCTGTTCTTGTGTAACATGATGAGCTGTATTACTGTGTGGTAGTGGTTGATAAGTGGTTGATGTGTGAACATGCTGATCCCTGTCACTCTCCAGGGGTGGTCACTGACACACAAACAAGACAGGAATGGCCGTGGGGTGCACAGGTGGGTGCAGAGCCCACTTCCCACACCAGCCCTGAGTGTCCTCTCTGCCCCACTTCCTGCAAGAACAGGATTGCCATGCTCTGTGTGATGCTCTCCTGCTCTGCTTTTACATGCAGATGAGACTGACTCTTTTGAGTGGAGTCTGGCTCAGTAAAACACCTGGTAAAATGAGTTTTGTGAAAGGTGCAGCATGGAACAAAGTCCTGCTTTCACCTCCCAGTGACCCACAGGCACATGTACAGGATGTTTGGGCCATGTGCTGGCAGCTGGGGCCTGGTGGGGGTCTCAGTGAGGCAAGGTCAAGGCTGCCCTGTGCCAGGGAAAGCCACTTCACTGCTCTCAAAAGAACCCACCGCAGGACACAGCTCAGCCCACCAGTGACAGTCATGGCTCCTCTGTGAAAAGATAGATTAAAAAGGGCAAAAACTCAGGCTGCTAAGGTGGAGTGAGAAAAAATGTGAGAAACAGTCCTGCAGCAACAAGGACAGCGAAGAAAGGGGAGGGGTTGCTCCACGTGCCGGAGCAGACATTCCCCTGCAGCCCCTGGAGAGGACCATGGTGAGGCAGCTGTGCCTCTGCAATGCACAGAAGTCCATGGGAGAGCTGAGATCCACCTTCAGCCCATGGATGAGCCACCACCAAAGTAGATGTGGTGGGTGTATCCTGAAGGATTGCAGCCCGTGGAGAGCCACTCTGGAGCCAGCTTACCCTGAAGGACTTCAGCTCATGGGATGGACCCTCACTAAAGCAGGAGAAGAGTGTGAGGAGGAAGGAGGAGAGACAGCTCATTACAGTGTGACTGCAAACCCCATTTTCTGTCCCCCTGCATTCTGTAGGGGAGGAGATAGAGACCCTGGGAAGGAAGGAGTGAAGTTGTGTCTGCGATAATTTGGGGGTGGAGACAAGGAGTCAAGCTGGGTTCACAGGCACCCAGCTTGAGATGTTTCTGTGTTACTGTGCCATGATTAAATTGCTTTAAAGATCCAGACGTCTGAGACTCTGCTATGGGAAACCCAGTGTGCAGCAGGTAAGGAAACCTGGTCTGACTCTGGGGCTGTGATCTGTTTAGGGGCTCAAGTGGGGCACCCATGAGCTCACAGGAGCTGCCCCCTGCAAAGGGGCTTTGGTCCCAGCAGTGAAAGGCTCTGGTAGGTGGGTGGAAATGCCAGAGAGCCTCGTGGATGGGGAGGCAGGAAAGTTTCCTTAACACCAGAACAAACAGAGTAGAATCTCAATAGTTTCTTTATTTCATCAGTTCAGGGGGCTCAGGGCAACCTTTTACGTCATGCTCAGACCCACGAGTGCATCTCTCATAATATTAAAAGCTTCAAAAAGCTTTTTGAGAGCACACCCTGCGCAACAAAAGCATCACTGGTGGCCAAGAGACAGAAGAACACAGATCCTGAATCCTCACAGGAATCAAACAAGGGTCAGTCACAAAATCACAACACTGCCCACTGCAAAAAAAAAGGCTTCAACTCCTTGTGTCACTCAACACAGCCCTCCTGAACCAACATTCAAATACTGCAGAGTGACACTGACACCAGGTAAGGGGACACCCAGCACATTTACATCCCTGCACCTGCCCTGCTCTCATGGGGAGCGGCACCACAATCCCCCCCACCAGCAGCTCTATAAAGCTCCTCTTTCCAGACGGGACACTCAGGGATCAGCAGCCGCTGACCTGCGCTTGGCATTGGTGCAACAGCCCCCTTGTCCAGCACAGCACCGCTCCCAGCTCCCAGGATGGAAGCTTGTCACTCCCCAGGGCAATTCAATGTCACCTCATATGTGTCCGCATCTGTGATCATCGGCACCCTTGAGGCATTTGCTGGCATGTGGATAAATGCTTTCATTGTTTCTGTGATTTGCATTGCTTGGGTCAAAAGGAAAACCTTGAACTCTAATGAGAAGATCTTGCTGTTACTGGGATCCTCCAGGTTTTGGTATTTGTTCATCGTATGGCTATATTATTTTCTTTTTAAAATGTTTCCCAATTACCTTTGCATTTACCCCACATTTCAACTACTTGCAGGTGCTCAAAGATTGTTTAATTGTTTCGAACTTTCTGTTTCAGCCTGTCTTTCTGTCTTTTATTGTGCAAAAATTGCCAATTTTAGGAACAGCTGCTTTTTCTACCTGAAAGTCAAAATTGACAGGATGGTGCCCTGGCTCCTGTTGGGGTCAGTGTTTTTCTCCCTGGTTATTGGAATCCTTGCCTATGAAATCATTGATAAACCTCAATGTAACAATTCCAGTGGTCAAGAAAATTTGTGGAAAGTGAAAATTAAGACAGATATACAGTTTTTCCCTATATTTTTTATCACTGGGTTTGGATATGCCACTTCATTCATGGCAGTCATCCTTTCTGTCCTTCTCCTTCTCTTTTCTCTCTGGAGACACAAACGCAACATGCAGACAAGCTCCATGAAGGACCTCAGCATGGATGCCCACATCAAAGCCATGAAATCCATTCTCTCCTTCTTCGTAATGTACAGCATCAACTTTATATCTTTGATTGTGATAATGATTTTTTCAGGGGAGAGCAAACGTGCTATGATGTTTCTGATTTATGTATTTCATTATGCTTTTCCAGGTGTTCATTCCCTTATTCTGATTTTCAGCAACCCCAAGCTGAAAAACACACTGCTAAGGATTCTGCCCTGTGTGAAGTGCAAGGTTTGCATGAAGTAGGAACTGTAGCAAAAGCTGGACCCTTTGCAAAATGCTGACCTTTCACTGTAGGCAACAAGTCAATTAATATCTAATACAACTCTACTGGCAGTGTAGATAATAGAGATGTTCACTCTTCCCCATCTAAGTTAAGAAAACTGGATTCAAATTCTTTGACCCAGATTATTGTGACTTTATTATAATTATTATCACTGAGTTTGGATAATTCTTTAGCTGAATTAGTGTCAGTAACAACTTCATTTAGACC